TTTTTGGAAGATTCTGAATTTTCAGAATGTTCAGAGGCTTCTTCATCAGATGATTCTTTTCCTTTGAAGGAAAAGGCAGGATTTTTGTTTAATTCCTGAATATCATATTTCATGACTTGGGTTTCTAACTTAAGGTTTTTAATTTCAGTTTTTATTATGTTAATCTCTGTTTGAAGATATTGAATAGTGACTTCTTTAGGCTTATTATTAAATCTTTCTAAAGTTTTGTAGAGACTGAAATTGGGTTTACTAACGGTTGGGGGTTCAGGTTCTAAGTTACCTAATAAGACCTTAAGTTTTTTAAGATACAAGGTTTTTAACTCAGGGTCATCTACTTTACTGATGAGATCAATAAGTAGATGTTCTTGTTCATCATTTTTTGTGAGAACATTAAGTGACTTAGTAGGATTATAGCAATTATCTTTACATCCTAATGTAATATTAAGAGAACTAGAGGAAGTATTAGATGACTGTGAGGAAGAGCTAACTTTAGGGTCACTACTACTATCCTCAGTATCTCTTAACTGGAGTATGTGATAAATAGAGCTTTTAATTTCATCAGAAATTTGTAACTGGTTGATTTTCTTTTTTGCATAACAATCTTTCGCAAAGTGACCTAATCAACCACATTTGTAGCATTTAACTTTGCTAACATCTGTAGTATTTGTGTTATCCTTTTTTCTAAAAGTCTTCTTACTAAATTTCTTCTTAGGTTTAGATTTTTGAGAATAATATTCATTTTTGGGGAATACTAGTTTTTTATTTTTGTAATGTCGACGATAACCTTTGTAACTTTTCCTATGTGGCTTGGGGTTTTGTCTGGAGGGGGCTATAGGTGGAAGACCATATTGTTTACAAAAGGTTCCCATTTCATATTTAGCTCTCTTTCTATCATCTTGTAACTGGTTACTGATTTTCATGTCAATACACATTCTTAATCCTTCATTTTGGATTAAGCTGATGATATTGCCATAAGTGAGGTTATCATAGTCAATGTTACCTGTGGATTTACTAAGAGTGTCTCTAATTTTGTGTGCAAAGAGATTAGGTAAACCATTAATGAATTTTTCTTTCCAAAATGGTTTTACTGTCATCTCTAAGCATAACTCTGGATAAGAATACATCTTTATACCACATAAAATCACTCATGGTTGGACAAGTGAGATTGGTAAGTTGATCATGTATTCTGAAGGTAATGTTCCTTGGAGTACCTATGAAATGGTCAACTATGATATACAATAATGTGTTAACTCCATCAGGGATACCACGGCCTATAGTTTCATCAAATATGGGAAGACCATTATCATCTTATTGAACAACATTTCTTATCTAGGTTCGAGAATCTTCAGTGAGATGTTTTTCCCACCAGGATTTTAACATGACTGAGAATCCCGAAGTAAGTAAATCAACAATTTTTAGTTGACTTAGGTTATGGGTGGTGACATAATTATTGGCTACCATAGATATATGACTAAGTTTATTAAGAATCTCTTATTCAGATAGGCCATCTATATTCCATTCATAGAGTTTATCTGAAGAAACAAAGAATTGATTTTGAATATTCTTTTCCTCAAACTGGAGGTCTGGAGGTGTTGGTCTGGGATACCAATTTTTGGTAAGGCTAGTGGGATTGATCTTTTTGTTAGTAATACGATTGAGTTCCAACTTGGAGAAAGCATTTTCAATGTTTTGAATGTCAGAAGGGTAATTAGAACCATCTGAAGAGGAACTGTCAGTATTATTAATGACAGTGAGGACGTTCTCATCTTTTTCTTCTTTGACTTTAGTTTTACCTTTTTGAAGGGATTTCAGAATAGCTTCAATTTGGTGAACAACAGAAGGATCTGGCAAAGCTGGGGGAAGACCCTTTTTGTGTGTAGGCATGGAAATGATAGGTGTTTCCATGGGAGGAGTAATAAGAGGCTTGACTAAAGGTTTTGGAGATTGAGCCATTGAGAACTCAATTTTGTTTAACTGGGTACCAAGGGTATGGAAGTACTGATTGGTAAAATTATTTTGTTCAATTATTTTCCTAGTATTAGCATCGACTGAGGTACTGGCTTTTAATAGAGAAGCAGTGATTTCAGTTCCCATGTGATCAAGGATCACATTTTCTAAAGGAGGATGGGAAGAGGAAACTGTTGTTGTATCAGAAGTTTTCCAATTAACTTTAGTGAGGACATCGACTTGATTGTAGCAATTTTCTAGATAATCAAAAATTTTGATTTCTAGTTGATTTTCAATCATGAACTTTTGTCAATGACGGAGAATTTTATTTTGTTCTTTTTCAGTATGGGTTTTGTGAAAAGTTCTACGCTTTTCTTTGTTACTGGGGGATGAGTATTCATCATGTAAGTTTGAAAGATTATACTTAAAAGGTTTACTAATAGTAGTTAACTGAGGATTGATTGCATTGTATTCTGCAATAAAATCAGATGGTGTAGGAGAGGTAGGGGTAGATTTAGCTTTTGGAGTAACATAACAAGGACAAGTAACATGTTCTTCAATTTGAATACCTTTTAATTTTGTATCTGTTGGTTGGAGATGAAATCTAGAATTTTTTCTTTCTAGAGGAATTTCACTTTCTTTGTCTAATAGATGTTCATCAGATCTATTACAAGAAGTGGAAGGACGTGAGCGAGTCAGAAGGCGTTGTTCATCAAAGCTTATTCTGACTGTTTCGTCAATAAATTCCTGTATTCTATCTAGATTACTAACATCATTTTGTATTTTGACCGGATGGTTCTCATTTTCGAGAAACCATTCATTGGGTAAGGAAATGTCTTTCCAGGCTATGGTTTTCTTAAGCAGAATATTAGCATCTGGAGTACTGCTTTCAATAAGTAGTGTGTGACCTTTGATATCTTTCTTAAGGGCTTTGACATTAAGATTAGTTTTTCTGGTTTTGTAATAGATTCTATAGATCAGACCTAAAGGCTGTGATCTTGGAAGCATTTTATAACCTGAAGTTTTAACATTAAGAGTTAAGGCCTTTAGAAGGAGCGGGTCAGTAAGACTAAGGGTGAGATCAGGATAGCAGTTAAAATGAACTGGACCATTACAAAGACTGGTTTCAACTATTCCTAGAAAACTATCATTATAATCCAGGAATCTAGCATCACGAAGAGCTAAGAGGACTGAGGCATTAAAACCAGTATTGGTGAAAGGGTTGACTGCTACTTGAACAAGACCTATGTGAATGAAGTTATATCCACGATCTTTGTGACTTTTGATTGCTTGAGTTGTGAATAACTGACATTTTTCATGTTCTTTAGATAGAGAGTAAATTTACTCTACAGTTTTGACTGCGTAATCACTAAGGAAAGTTGACTTAAGAAAACTAGTTTTGTAGATTTCACGGGTTGGGATCCTAGGGATATTCCAATTACTAAAATCTAAATGGACATCTTCAACTCGATAATCTTCTTCATTAACTATGTTTGGAACTGGAGGAAGACTAGTACTAGCTCTAGATCTAGAGCTTACAGAAGAGGAAGATCTAAATAACCTATTCATGGTTACTTAACTCTCACTATTCTTGATAGGTTGACTGGTTAAAACAAACTAGTTTCATGATTCTCTCTAAGTGGTATCTATCTCCTAACTACGCGTTCATCCGCTCACGCCGCACCGCTCAGGCCCTCTCTTTGGGACTTTCTGTTTGGATCTAGGACTTACTGTTTGGATCTGGACTCACAAGAAAGGAAATAGAAGTACAAAGTGAGAGATAATGAATAGAATGTTAGAACAGAATCAACAGAATCAAGGTAAGCTAGATAATGTATTAACATAAAAAGATAATTTATTTATAAATTTTTTAGGGTTAAATTTTTTTTTTTTTTTTCTCGGGTGGGCATTTTATTTTTGAATCCCGTCAAAATGACCGAAAACATTAACGATTGGAGAGAAGGGAGACTAACCATATTTTGAAGAGTTGTTGTGTAATTTAAAAAAAAAAAAAAATTAAAATAAATAAAATAAATAAATAAATAAATTTATTCAGGTGTAAAAGTTAAGATTAGATGTTTCATTTCATTTTAAACGAGAGTGCAAGTGTTGAAAAGTGGAGTACAAATATCGCCTCCTTTCAAAATAACTGTTTATTCATGTCCAACTCAGTAATTTTAAAATTTTATTTATTTGAAATTTAAAAGTTCACTCTATATGACCCTAAAAAGTCTCCTAACTTCATATAATTATACATATATATAATTTTTCCTATTTGCAAATCTCTTATATAGTTTCTTTAAATGTGTGTTTATATATATATCCTGATACTACAGCTTGCAATATGTCTGATAATTGGGGTACGACAATGTTTCCCAACAAGAGCCCTGATCCTATTTAAGCAAACAACTAATAACTCTGTTACATAACATATAAACATATAAACCTCCTCTCTAATCGTATGTACCACAAAAAGAGTAACTGATCATGACTCTCTTTTTTCAGCCTTTGTTACTCACCTTTCATCCCTCATAGCTCATCTCAACACATTGACACAATCATGTTCAAGGACAGTGATTTCATAATTTCTTTGTCCAATGTGGTTTTAAAGAACACCCGATGTGTCAATATTGGTGGCTCCAAAGTCAACAAGTGTGTAAGTGTACGTGATGACAAGTCACAGGAAATTAATTAAATGTTACACATAGTCACATGTTTGCACGGACGGATCCAAAAACAAGTTAGGTATCAATGTGGAATTTTTTACTAATTTTGGAGGGGCAAGATCATAATTTTATAGACAGATATGTCAAAATTCTAAAAGTATAATCCTAATAGATCCTTGCCTGCATGAATGCACCTATCTCTCTTGCACTATGCATAATGCGGCTGCCACAAGTGTGAACTCTCTCTACTGCACTGTATATATTTCGGCTGATACATTTGTAAGTGTCAAAGTGTAGGTCCACAAATATTGACATTGTAACTTGTTGTTTAAGTGGTAGGTTTTCTCTACAAATAGAGAAGAGCAGAAGAAGTGAGGTATTGGGGGGAGAGATATTTGTGAGACCCTCAAGTCTTTTCGACAAATCACTAAAGAGTGTTATTTACGGAAATATATATACATATATTTTAAATTTACCCAAAAAAAATCACTAAAGAGTGTTATTGGGTGTATTTGAGTTTTGAGTGTTAGTCACTATTTGTATATTCTTTTCATTTTCATAGGAAAAATTTTTGCTCTGTTTTTTATGATCTCCATCAATATGGTGGAGTGAAGGAAGTTGCTGCCGTAAATGAAACAGAGCAGAGAATTCGTGGTGTTCGGCTCCAACACATAACAAAAAGCTATTGAATGTGGTATTCTCAAACCCTATGAATTAAGATTCAAATCATGCAGTAGCAGAAGGTGTAACGTCAGAAATTACTCACAAGAAAGAGGGAATGTTAAAGGTTGAGTCTATCCGTGTAATGGTGCAATGTTTGAAGCAGAAAGGCCACGCGGTAGCAGTCACAGGCGATGGAAACACCGATGCCACTCAAAGAAGCAGATAATTGGGCTCTCCATGGAGATCCATGGCACAGAAGTGGCAAAAAAGAGCTCAGATCGATAGAATCATTTGGATGATAATTTCTCCTCTTTGGTGACAGTTCAGAGGTAGGGCAGGTGTGTTCACAACAGCATTCAAAAGTTTCACGTGGACGAAAAGGTCAAGGACCATGGTTATCAAAATCGCGATTCTGAGTCGTAGAATCGCACGATTCTGCGACTCAGCTCTTAAAATCGACTCAAATCGGATCAGAATCGCCCAATTGGTAGAATCGGTAGTAGAATCGTTGGTAGAATCGTAGAATAGTACGATTCTACACGATTCTACGGATTCTATCAAAATGTGTGTTTGGGCGGGCTTTATACTATTTGGTCTTTGGGCCTTTATTCTTTTAGTTGTTTGGGCCAAAGCCTGGCCCAAATTTTGTATAGAAATTTACTAAATTATATATTTAATTATTTATTCTATAAATCATAAAATACAAAACCTACTCTATTATAATATTAGAAACGGGGACCCTATCTCAGAGAGGAGAGGAGTGAGGACTGAAAGGAGGCGGCAGTGCAGAGGCTTATAACGAGCAGATCAGAATCATCGAATCCATACAGCAGCTTGCAGGTTCGGCCAGGTATGTTCTTCCTTGATCAAGAAATTTCTAGAGTTTTTTCTAATCTATATGACCCTTCGTAGCTTAATTATTCTAAGATTGTTCTAACCTTGATTATTCCTTGATTATTCTAACCTTTTATCTACTTGTTCTTAGAAATTATTCATCATGTTTTGATAATCTTTTGCATTAATGGTCTTAGTTTAGTTTTAATTTTAAGTTCTGAGTCTTCTGACTATCTTTTCCAATTTCTTTAGTTTTTGTTTTAATTTTACCTGGCCATTTAAATTTTTATCACTATTTTTTAGCACTATTTATGAAACTAAAAAAATTAATAGAAACTGAAACTGAAAAAATTAATAGAAAGGGAAAATAAGCAGAAAATCACTATTTATGAAACTGAAATAGTGATTTTCTGAAACTAAAAAAATTAATAGTGCGGAGGATGAGTGCGCAAATCACTATTTATGAAACTGAAAAAATTAATAGAAAGGGAAAAATAAGAAGAAAAAAAAAAGTGAGTAAGAAGGAACAGTGTAACATTGCAATACTTAAAAGTATGTGACAAAATGAATTTGATTTGTAATATAGACATTTGTTTCATCAGTGTGAATATTCCAAAATCATATGAAGTGGACTCCACCACAAATGCGGATTCTACATATGCCCTAACTCTTTGGAAAGATTTTTTAATTTGGGCATCTTTAAATTGGAAACAAAAATTAAAGAGAAGCAGGGTCATGATTTGGAAGCTAACCTCAGCTAGTGATGTGTATCATATTTGGAGGGAAATGAATATCAAATAGAACCTTAACTCTAGGACAAACAATGAATGATGTGATCAATTTTGTGTTACATCTTTTTTTATTTATATTCAGACTTTGAAATATTTTCTTTTACTTTTATTTATATTCGGACTTTAGAATATTGTTAGGATTTGAGATTTGAAGTCATGGATATGTAATATGGTGTGTTTTAGCCTTATTTTAGTTATATTTTACATATCTTATTGTTTAAGAAGTTAGTTTCAATTTTTTTTTTATAATTTGGTAGAATTTTACGATTCACGATCCGATTTTACGATTCCGGTTCTACGAAGCCCAAAACGATTCTATGTAGAATCCCGATTTTAACAACCTTGTCAAGGACACACTCATTTTCAATAGTTTTATTTTCTGCCAAGTTTTTAACGAGTTCAATGCAAGGAAGCTGTAGAAGAAGAACATATTTAAGGGGTTACTGAAAAACAAACTGTTTCTAGGGATGGTCGATCGGGATCGATGACAGTAGTTCTTCAAGTGGTTATGGTGGAGCTTCTAAAGAGGCTTGCTAGTACTAGAAGGCTGATTTATTGTCGTGATATGGCCACAATTATTGCTAGTGCTGATTACTTTCGGTGGCTTGGTTCACTTTGCATTTGTTATTGCCCACCCACTTCCACAATGCCTTTATATTCAAGGCTAAAGTTAAGGAATGTTGAAGTTGAAGACAAACATCATAATCACAAAAGCACACAAGCTTTCTCTGAGTAATAATTTCCTTTTTCTTAATGATCTTGTTTCAGGTGTCTCGATATTTCAACATATATATATATATATGGTTTGCAACACCTGATTGTGGTTGTCTGTTTCAGGATGCAGAAGCTCTATATGTTGGAAGGCTGAGGAAGCTCTATATGTTCCAATGCATGCACGCCATTGATCCCATTTCAGCCTTTCAGTATTAGCAAACCTCTTTAAAAGAACTAGTGTCATCCCAACGATCCCTAGAAACAGTCAGTTCTTCAGTATCCCCTTAAATATGTTCTTCTTCTCCAGCTTCCTTGCATTAAACTCACTAAAAACTTGGCAGAGAAGAAAACTATTGAAATTGATCAGCGTGTCCTTGACCTTCTTCTTCACATGAAACTTTTGAATGTTGTTGTAAACACACCTGCCCCACCTCAGAACTGTCACCAAAGAGGAGAAATTATCATCCAAGATGACTATATCTGAGCTCTCTTTTGCCACTTCTGTGCCCTGGATCCCCATGGAGAGCCCAATATCTGCTTCTTTGAGTGTGGGTGCATCGTTGGAAACGTGGCCGCCTTCTTCAAACATTGCACCTTCAGAAGCTTGTCAAACGGGGATGATCGATCTGGCCATTACATGGAGAGACTCAACCTTTAACATTCCCTCTTTCTTGTGAGTAATTTCTGACCGTTACACCTGCTGCTACTGCATGATTTGAATCTTAATTCATAGGGTTTGAGAATAGCACATTCAATAGTTATAGATTTTGCATCGAAGGCAATGGACAGCAAATTAGCACATGGAATGATCGATGTATGGTTTCCTGGTTTCACCAGAAACTTCAAGAGTGTGTGGAGAATGTAAATCAAAGCAACTTGTTGGATCATGAGACTAATATTGAAGTTATTAATGTTCATTCAGGAAAAATATATATTTATTCTAGTGTTTAATCTATTATCTTATAATTTGTGTAATTTTAGAGTTCTCTATTTCTGCCTATATATACCTGTTCTTGAATCATTTTTGTAACCAGCTAGTGGACAAAAATCCCTTAAAAGATATATATATATATATATATATATATATATATATATATATATATATATCAAAGGAAGGAACAAGTCCGATCGGATGCTAATACCTAGCATTCTGAAAGATCAAAGAAATCAACCTTTGGTTGATTGCCAATACTAAACTGTGCTTCGCCATGAACTCTCAAAGAACAGTTTAGTTTTGACGGAAGGCTGTATTAAAGAAATGTTGAATTCTTTAGTTTTGTAGTCTACATTTTTTAACTTGCAGTTCAGCAATCGAAATTGTTGTTTCATGTTTACCTTTTAACTCTCAAAGCCATTGCCCCCTCACCATACAAGTGTTTCATTCAAGCTTATTTGAAGAGACTCGAATAAAAAGCCTCTTGATGAACTAGCATGGACGATCCAGAAAGTTGTGAGTGGGGAAAAGTGAATTTAATATATATATATATATATATATATATATATATTTTGTTATTTTAGGTGAGAGCAAAGTAAAATTTTTGTAGGTGTATAATTGAAAATAATAAAAAATAAAAACTTAATAGTATATAAAAAATAAAATAAATAAAAATTCAGTGGGCAATTGCCACTCTAACGTGCCTCCATCGTCCCCGTGTAGTGGGACAATCTATGGGTCCACACCATAAATGTGAATGAGAGAAAAAATTGGCAAGTAGTTCGGGGTGTGAGAAATAGTATGGTAATAGTGTAAGAATAGTGTGTGCATGTGGGTGGATTGCATGTGGGTCCATGAATACTATTTCAAGTGGAAGTTTGCAAGCTAAAAGTGAAAGGTTGTAGTTTTTTTTTTCGTTTTTTGGTAAAGTTGGTTTCCAAACAAAGTGTTAGGAAATTTAAAAAAGGGTGAAAAGTTGTTTAGGAAACTTTAAATATAGGTATAATAGTGGTTTTGTTGGATTATGAAAGAAAAGATGGGCTTGTATCCAATGGTCACTGTATAATATATATGATGTGGATAAAATCTCTTACTCATAGATAATCAATAGAGTAGATCACTATTCTCTGGTAGTTAGGGTACGCAATTATAACAAATTTAGTGATGAACAATTGTCTAATGATCTTTAAATATTTGCAACAAGGAGTGTAATGCCACTCTTGCTTGTCTGAAGTAGATTTCATTGCATTGCACTCATCAACCAAGACTGCAAAAAATAGGTGCTTACGCGGTTTCGTTAGATTGAAGAATGCTATCAAAAAAAATAAGCCCAAGAGAAGATCAAACAATGAACAAATAAAGTAAAAGAATCACTTTTGTTTTAAGAAATTGCTTTCATTTTCGTGTGTATAAATGTATGGATAATAGAGGTTTTGTATCACTTTTGTTTTTGTAAATTTTAAAGAATTGGAATGTAAGAGAAATGACTTCATTTTCTTGCTTTTCAATTTTATTTCTCACAAGACAAGATGTGTAGGTCGCTTGAAACACGATAATGACTAAATGGTCAACATGATCGACAAGAATGTTATCATGATATGAACAAAAAGGTTATGTTTGTCTATATAAATTTGTACATTTGATCAAATATAAAAAGAAAACACATGAAGTCTTTGACAAGGACATTACGTATTACTCTCGAAAGAAAGAAAAAATATAGTGACATTCATAAAATGAAATACCACTATTAGCATGAACCCTAAGTGACATTCTCAAGACTCGCCTTCACACACCCTCTAATTTCTTATTTAACAAACAGCTACGTTTACCTGGAAGTTAAAAAGATATCTCTTTTTTCATTTTTCCTGTTTTTTAATTTCTGAAAATAAATAATAAGTGTGAAAAATTATATCATCCTACCAAAAATTTTCTTAGTCCTTTGGCAGTCAAAGGACGTATTCAATGGGCAAGAGAAAAAAAGCCTGTGGAATTTCATATTTTATTTTGTTTTCAGCGAACGACCTGAGTCAACAACAACTTGCTGGGCAACAACTTGGTAAAACACTAATTCTTAGAAAAACCTAAATGCAAGGCACATGAAGCTCCAATGAAATTTCATAACAATTTCAGCGTTTTAAAACTTCTATTTAAGCAGAAAATAACACTCTGTGTTGCATAACATAAAATATTACTCTACAAAAGAATATTAACGCAACACTCTCTCTTCCTCTATATTCAGCCTTTCTTCCAAATCTTGCTCTTATTCTTCATCATCATTCATGCCCCTCATAAGTCTGCTCAACACCATCATACAATCATGTTCAAGGACACAGATTGTTCCATTGTCAGACCCCACAAACGATTAAAATTGGCTTTCACAGCCAAATATTTCGTAGTTGCTTTGTCCAAGAAGGTTTTCAACAACACCCGATTTCCCACCAGTGTCATTCATAGCCCCCCATTCATTACAATCGACATTCAACCCACAAATGATGCTGGCAATGACGATGATCACGTACCCTTTCTTGCCATTGACCAGAAGGCAATCACCGATCTGGTTAAAGAGAAAGACTTTGATGTTCTCCAACAATATGGAGGGGTGAAACAAGTTGCGGCCCTTCTTGAAACCGATGAGAAGTTTGGTATCAGTGGCGGCAACATTGTTGATACCAAGCACAGAATCGACATTTTCGGCTCCAACACATATGAGAAGCCTCCTACAAAAAGCTTTATCAGTTTCGTGCTTGAAGCATTCAAAGACACAACAATTATCATACTCCTGGTATGTGCAGTTTTTTCTCTTGGCTTTGGGATTAAGCAGCATGGTATCAAGGAAGGGTGGTATGACGGAGGCAGCATCATTGTTGCTGTTGTGTTAGTTGTTGCAGTCTCTGCTATAAGTAACTTCAAGCAGAGCAGACAGTTTGAGAAGTTGTCGGAGGAGAGCAGCGACCTAAAAATGGAAGTAGTGAGAGATGGGCGGCAACAACCCATATCAATCTTTGAGGTTGTAGTGGGTGACATAGTGTGCTTGAATATTGGTGATCAGATTCCTGCAGATGGATTGCTCTTGGATGGCCACTCGTTGAAGGTGGATGAATCTAGCATGACGGGTGAAAGCGACCATGTTGAAGTCAATGAGCCCACAAATCCGTTTCTGCTTTCTGGTACGAAGGTGACGGATGGCTATGGCCACATGCTTGTCACAGCAGTAGGCATGAACACGGCATGGGGCCAGATGATGAGCTCCATAAGCCGTGACTTGGATGAGCAGACACCGCTGCAAGCCCGCCTCAACAAGTTGACTTCTTATATTGGAAAGATTGGTTTGTTGGTGGCTTTTCTCGTTCTCACGGTTTTGATGATTTGTTACTTCACAGGACATACTAAAGACCATAGCGGGCACCGGGAATTCAACGGCAGCAAGACCAAAGCTGATGAGATCATGAATGCCATGGTGCGTATCATTGCTGTAGCAGTTACAATAGTTGTGGTGGCAATCCCCGAGGGTCTGCCTTTGGCTGTTACTCTGACTCTTGCTTATTCGATGAAGAAAATGATGGCTGACAATGCCATGGTCAGGCAACTCTCTGCCTGTGAGACGATGGGTTCAGCTACAACAATCTGCACAGACAAAACAGGCACGCTAACATTAAACCAGATGAAGGTCACTGAGTTTTGGCTAGGAAAAGAGGAACTGAAGGACAGCACATCATCAGAATTTGCTCCTAATTTTCTTGAATTGCTCCAAGAAAGTATTGGTTTAAATACAGCAGGAGAAGTTTATAGACCAGTATCTACATCAGCTCCTGAAATTTCTGGTAGTCCAACTGAGTCAGCCATTCTCTCTTGGGCCGTGTTTGATTTGAACATGGATCTTGATGAGCTAAAGGAAGTTAATGAAATTCTCCACGTAGAAACTTTCAATTCGGAGAAGAAACAAAGTGGGGTTCTGGTGAGGAGAAAAGGTGGGAAGACAGTGCATACGCACTGGAAGGGAGCTGCAGAGATGATTCTGTCAATGTGCTCAAATTATTACGTGAAAAGTGGGATGATCGCAGCAATGGATGATACAGAGAGAGTGCAGTTTGAAACAATTATTAAAGATATGGCAGCTAAAAGCCTGCGATGCATCACCTTTGCATGCAAAAAAGTCGCAGGAGAAAGTTTACAAGGCAATGGAAAGCTCGAAGAAAGCGGGCTGACATTATTAGGGCTTGTGGGTTTGAAGGATCCATGTCGGCCAGGTGTTAGAGCAGCAGTACAGTCATGCAGGAATGCTGGAGTTGACGTAAAAATGATCACTGGTGACAATATTTTCACTGCAAAAGCTATAGCTATTGAATGTGGAATTCTCAAACCCTTTGAAGATTCAAATGATGTAGTGGTAGAAGGCGTAACGTTCAGAAATTACTCACAGGAAGACAGAATGTTAAAGGTTGAGTCTATCCGTGTAATGGCCAGATCATCCCCATTTGACAAACTTCTGATGGTGCAATGTTTGAAGCAGAAAGGCCACGTGGTAGCAGTCACGGGCGATGGAAACAACGATGCAATGGCACTCAAAGAAGCAGATATTGGGCTCTCCATGGGGATCCAAGGCACAGAAGTGGCAAAAGAGAGCTCAGATATAGTCATCTTGGATGATAATTTCTCATCTTTGGTGACAGTTCTGAGGTGGGGCAGGTGTGTGTACAAAAACATTCAAAAGTTCATCCAATTTCAACTCACAGTCAATGTCGCTGCCCTAGTCATCAACTTTGTTGCTGCCCTATCATCTGGTGAAGTCCCACTTACAGCAGTCCAGCTGTTGTGGGTGAATCTCATAATGGATACTTTGGGGGCTTTAGCCTTGGCCACTGAGCAACCCACTAATGATCTCATGGAAAAGCCACCTGTCGGTCGAACTGAACCGCTCATAACAAGAGTCATGTGGAGGAATTTAATTGCTCAGGCCTTGTATCAAGTCACCATTTTGCTGATCTTGGAGTTCAAAGGAAGATCTATCT